GTGTGTGTGTGTGTGTGTGTGTGTGTGTGTGTGTGTGTGTGTGTGTGGCCATCCAGTATGTCCTACCAAGAAGATCTTCATTCCAAATATAACTCGCAATAAATGGGTTTTTGAAGAAATATTTGTCATTCTTTTTTGTGTGTGCTGATGTCATTTGAGGCTGGAAATAACTATCAAGTCAATCTGGTGATTGTATTTTTTAATTAAACAATTATATGTTTTGTCTTTATCATGTTTGGATACATTTTGAGGGCGACGTCTCCAGATATCTTTTTCTGTCCGACTAAAGATATTCGGTTTACGCTCGTATAAAAGACAGAAAAGAAGCTCATCTTCACATTTAAGAGGCTGGAAACACCAAATAATTTGCATTTCTGCCTTAAAAATATATCAAATGATTCTTTGATTATCAAAATAGTTGCTGATAAATTCAAACTCGGCTTGAGTGTCATGAAATATTTCTACATTACAGAATGTGATCATAATACAAGATGTCTTTCTCTGCCGTCCCCTACGTTTAAGATGTAAACAAGTGTGATCAAATCACAGCACCAAAATGTAAAACAAGACAGGAACCTGCTACAATTCATTTGGTTCAACAGATATTTTGATTAATAATCATTTGTTTAAATCTGCAATATTTGTGGTCGCAAGGTTTTCCTAGATGCGTATTTATTTATGTAAATGAATACTTGCTAATGTGATAAAATATGAAAGTATTTGTACTAAATATTACACTGTACAGTCATAGCTCCACAGTAATGCACTGTGCAAGCAGGTAACACCGTGTATTCTACAGTATAAATGCTTAAAAATGAGTTTCAATAGATCACAGAATTAGCTTAGCATTGAGCAGTAATACAGGAATATGAGGAATACAGGAACAATAAGATCGGTTGGGAATTGGCAGTTGGATTATGTCATGTTGTCATTTATTAATTTGACTCTTCTTTTGCTGAAATAGCACCAACATCTGTTTTTTACCAGTAGATGGCGCTATTGCATTAAGGCCCTCCCACCCTTCCGTATTATGCACATGTGATGACCGCACCGAGAACAGCACATCAACAGGACTACATGCCTGTCAGTCACACAGTATCTCTCACTGGAGGCATAATGGATCCTAATGATCACAACCAAAGAGACACAAGATACCAGCCGAACCCTGTCAACTCTAAAGACGGCACATCAGGAACATCTGGAGCTGAGCAGACACCTGAGAACACAAACAGAGATGCACCTGACAGCGGGAACCCACAGGCGACCGGCAGACAGCCGCAATAGTAAGTTACAGTTACAGTTGTGTTTCACCAAAAATGATAAAAGTCTGACACAATACTGTGACACGGACGAGTTGTTGAGTTTATAATGACGTCACATAAAAGTGTCAGTATTAGTTAACTCTTTAACTCTACCCAGCTAGGCTGAGTTTATCTCTGTTAGTGAAACATTTCACAAGTTAAATCATTTATTGTGGAACTCGCTGCTGCTGACTTTCAGTTTCGTTTCACGTGAGAGGGAAAGTGCCTTCACTGTTTCCCGGAAATCCCATTTGTCACTATTAACCACAAGCGTAGGCTAAGTTTAAATGACCTTTTAGTCTTACACAACATAACAACAAAATATCAACAAAGTGAAGGCTACTGTCACAAAATACGTTTGTTTTTTTAATTGATGTTGTACCTGAATAATAAAAGAAAGAAAAGAAAACACGTTCATAATTTAGTTTTGGGATAGAAAAAGAAAAGGCTTCTATTAGAAATAAAAGATACATTACTAATGACTTCAAAGCAACAGCAATGCAATGTTATGTTTATGTGACAAACAACAGCTGCTTGGAACTTTTTACTTTCAGTTTCCTAGCTCACTATTAAGACCGAATGCTACTTGGATTATTTTTTGTCATGAAAGCAGCATTTTAATGTTTTAGTAGCACATTATGTTGATTTTATCAGCTTTGTATACTGATACAGTTTAATCTTTGGCAATTCTATAAACTGATTGTGTATATTTTTGTTTTTGAAGATTGGTGTAACTATGGCTGTTATATAAATGTAGTGGAGTTAAGAAGCTTTTCTCTGAAACATAATACCATCATCTAAGCAAACAGTCACTCAAATGCTCAAGTAAAGTTTTCATTTTGTCTTTTTTGTTCGTTTTACTTTTACTCCGAAATCTATCTACACGCCTACCTTTTTCAAAAGAGTTTGAAAAACTTGGATTCATGTCTCAAGTCATGTTTCCCTAAATGAACATGTTTTCATATTATTCTACATCATGGGAACACTTTGATTTCTTTGTTTTTCTTGTTTTTGGCCCATAAACACACTATGAAATGAACCAGAATATGATTATAGCAAGAAATATCTGATCAGAAAATAGGTAAACAAGACAAAACATTGCTAACCAAGCGTTCTGTATCTTAACATTGATAAGATTTTACAGTATCTACAGCCCGTTCAGTCCCTAACGAGCTCCTTCATGTCTCCGTCCTTGTCTCAGCTCAGGCGGATACACCATGATCCCACCAAATGAATCTCGGCGAAACGAGCTCCTAAGAAGTAGGCTGGCGCTGCTGCTCTCATCTGTCGCACCTGTATCGTTTTGATCTTCATACGAACAAATATGAATTTCTTTCCCAAGTAATGAAGCTTTGTGTTTCTCTAGTCGCTCAGAAAGAAGAGGAGGATCGTCAGAGATGGAAGGAGGCAAACAGAGTCCCCTCTGTGCACATGACTCCAGCGAAACTGGGTAAACCAACACACATAACTACACCCAATGCAAATCATCGTCAACCATTTGTATGACATTACTCTTACCTTATGCGTTTGCACATTACTGATATGTAATACACTGTTTCATTTATCAAGGTGGTAGTGCAACTTTGTCTGGAGCCAGGGAGAAGCAGCATACAGACTCTCGTTGCTCCAAACTGCAGAAAAGGGTACTTCATCACATTTACTGTTTTAAAACACACACATCCTGTTTACCCTCTGACTTCACATACACCTCAGATGAAATACCTTCTATCAGTCAGTCTGACGTGCTCTGTGAATTATAGAAGCATATTGTAACCAGGGCTGGTCGAAAATGCAGTATGACAATTTATCATTTTCAATGGAACCATATCGTGATTAAAGTCATCATATATCAAGATATCGTGGTTGAGATTATTTTCTGTGTTGGCTGAATCATAAATAGATATTTAATGTGTTTGTTGTTGTTTCAAGCTAAAAAAGGAAGACTTGGACAAGAAGAAGAGACAAGAGGAGGACGAGGAGAACCAGAAGAAGAAAGATATACAGAGGGAGAAGGTGAGACCAAGATTAAAACAACAAGATTATGTACTTTGGCCTTTTGTTCAATTTATCGCAAAAGGCTTATTTAAATCAGTCGCCACCTCTTCTATTTATATTTCAGTTGCATTTCTAATCATTGCAATATGAGGAAACACATTTGATATATTTAACACCCTTTAGGGAGTTATGTCAGAGTGAAGCCTCAACCCTTCTAGTGATATCCTGTAATTCACAGAGTGCTTTTTGACAAACCCCAGAGTTCCATGTCAGGAATGCATGGCACTCAGCCACGGGCTGTGAAAGGAGGTGCAAAGAGCAATAGCAGTTGCAATAGTTGGTGTTTTTCCAGTGAAGAGTTGCACCACTTACTCAGAATATGGCATGACTTGTGGCTGCATTGCATTATGGTCCGTGAGTTCAGCAGAAGACGTCATACCTGTAATTATTTCATGAATGAAAGGCGATGCCAAGTCTTCAGCCTCTATGTAAAAGAACTGAGAGTTACAGCAGACCTGCTAATCAATTAAAGCAGACTTTACGACTTGCATTGGATTGCATTAGACTGTACAGGTGTAACTAATAAAGTGGACACTGAGTCTATAACGAACGTATTCTCAGGAAGGCTAAGGGAATTCTATACGGTGGCCCTGAGTGCTGAATACAGCGCAACCAAAGAAAACACATGCAAATAGACCAAACACATTTAAATAAAGAAATATTCACCAATTTGACTACAATCATTCAGCACAACAAAACTCCACTGCAAGTAAAGAAAACGCAACCAAATACAGAAGGGTGCATAAACATTTTAGTGGTGTTTTTTGGGTGGTGGTAGGAAGATGTGCGGACATTTCTCCCTGTGGGAGTCTCACCCTCCCACTGCATGGCACTAGTTTGTCTCCCATCAGTGAGAAACAATATCATTTTTAGCCTCTAGATGTCAGTAGAGTCAAGCCTGCTCCTGAGCTGTAGCGGTGTGTGTCAGAGCAGAGTCTTCCCTCACACACCCCACCAGCCTCAGAGCCACCTGGTTAATGGTCTCATGGGTTTCCCGCAACCGAAGACAGCTCGTCCTTCTGCTCTCAGACGTGTTTCACTCCACAGTCTGGCCCCGCTTATATGGTCTAATAGTAGTTGATTGACTGCTACAGTTATGTGGAAGGGTCGTTAATTATTAAGACCAGAGCTGTGTTCCACAGACCCTGTCCTATTGCGCAATGACCTCCGTGAAGCCATAGGAATGTGCCGGTAATCCAGCAAACAGAACAGATTCATGTGAAACAGCCACTTCTTCGTCTGTAGACGGGATCTAACAAGAGGCTGGCAGAAACGTGCCTCTGGTTCATAAATCCATCCTGACCCACTTTGGTTTGGGAGGGTTTGGGGTGGAAAATTATTAAGCGTTCAAACCACAAAAACTGAGAATGCTACAGCTCATCACTGCTCCTGGACAGCCCACCTCTTTTATTTGTTTTTACAGTAAATACATACTGTAACAGCCGACACGGCCGGGCTGCTCACGGCGCTGGTGCCAGAATACAATCTCAAAATGAAAATACAAATACTTTTGTCTCTATCCAGCAAATACACAATTACTGCAATACTGCAATTACAGGGGACTAAACAGGATTTCCATCTCTTTATACGACAATGGGATCGAGAAAATGGGATGCATCATCTTACAAAATATCACATAAGATATAATTGAGGATGTTTTCCAAGAAGCTTGATCTTGCAGATGATGGAATTGTTTACATAAATATTTTAAAATACCACATCTTTTCACATGTTTCTTGTGGACGTTTTTATTGATTTGTTGAACGTGATTGAACCATATCTGGGAATTTATTGCTTTCATTGATTATCTTCATAATATCATGAACTTGAAAGACACGCTTTTCATGTCAGACAGCCACAAGTACTGTTCACATAGTATACATGTGAATGTCATCTGTAAATAGTGTGCAACAGAACACTTGGTTATCTTCCACAGCAATACCTGCAGCCCATATACCATATATGTTGAATGTGTAACTGCTTGTTGTTGCATGGTGGCAGCCCGCCATGCATCCGGCTGTGTGCTGTGGTGTGACTGCTGTCTGTGATGCATCGCAGGCTGATCGCCTGGAGGAGAGAAAGCGACAGGAGGAGCAGAGGAGGAGGGAGCAGCTCAGCCAGGATCATGCCAGGTCAGCCCTGATCAGGTTAACTCGGGCCTCGTCACTGTCACTGCGCTGTATTGTGTTGTTTCTGTGTGTCGTGTTGTGTTCTTTCTTGCTCTGCATTCGATCTATGAGCATCGGATGTCACAATATCCAGACCTTTACAAAGGAAGCGCCCGATGTCTGATCCTCTGCTGACCTATAATTGTCTCTGGAGTTTTAGCAAGTTGCATTTTTTTATTGGCAGAAAACAGCAAATAAAAACATATCAGGGGAAGCATGAAGACAACAACATTAGCTTCACCTCTGATTACCGGCTAACATGGACAATGCTAACATGCTAAAGGGCCAGTGTGTAGCATTGCAGGGGATTATATGCAGAAATGTAATATAATATTCATAACTATGTTTTAATCAGTGTATAATCACCTGAAATTAAGAAAATTATTTGTTAATTTACCCTAAACAGAAATTACAGCTGAGGCAACATGAATGTGTGAAACTAATTTTACAACAGTATTGACATTTCACTCAAAGCCACATGTAAGAGGAAAGGTCAGTAGGGTGTCCATGTCCTCTTGAAGTGATCCCTTCTTCTTTTCTCATGCAGATTATCATCTAATTGGCATTAGTATATTTATTACATTAATAAAAAGTACCTGGGTGATGTCACTTGAGTCACTCCTTCAGGGCCATAGAGGACATTATGCAACTGTTTTCACACACTGAGTAGCACTCCCCATGACGAGTGGATTGACTTTGACATGTAAAATGAGTGTAGTGCCCCTTTAAAATAACCAGGGATTTTGGATAATATGTTGAATGTATATACAATAATGATTTAGAGTGTTCTCTGTCTGCAAGTTTTTCATGCTGTATTCTCCAACAGTGCACCAGACCGCTCTAAATCAATTACCCTGATAGTCGAGATGTTATTGGAATATTATACAAAGTCGGCTCTGGGGGAAATGGCTTGTCAAGTAGCATCTCTGGCTTCCTTACAAGAGAAACAAAAACAGGAGACAGCAGACCAATGTGTGAACCTGAAGAAACAATGAAGAGATTTAGAAATGGGGCTAAGGAGCTGGAGTGGGACGGCACAGCTCTTGAACCGGGGAGAGCGGTGTCAGTGAGGCACAAACAAACTTGGTCAACCTTGTGGAAAATCCAGTACTGTCAGTATCCAAGGCCTGCAGAGCATCTGTGGCGTAAACAAATACTCCTTCATACCTTATTTATCAGTGTGTGTGTTTCCATGTTTGTCTTTTTGAAATGTGTAACTGCAAGACAGGAGATATGACTTGTGTATTCATTCTAGGAAGACTGAGAGTTTTCTGCAGAGGTTTGAGAGGACAGCCCCGGGTCCGCTGGCATCCAGCAGTGCCGCACACACGTCATCCAGGGTAAGCCAGCAGCCACATACCGTGTGTGTATGTGTGTGTGTGCACTTGTATGTGCTCTCACATGTTTTATTTACGTAAATGGCATCAGCCTGTGTGCATGTAAACTATAGAAATAAAACAGGTAGAACGAGCATTCCCTTTCATATCAACGTTGCAGGATGGTCAGACCGGCGTCCATTTTGTATTGCGAACTGTTGTAGCGGGCTAACTTCCATAAACTATAACGACTCAAGACAAGTCCCGTACTCGCTGAGGTGAGATTTTGCAGTAACGACCAAAACGAGCAGATAATTTAACAGCTTAATGCTTCATCCACACAGTGTTGTCACAGTGTAAAAAAGCACATTGCTATCGTCAAATGAGTGACAACTGTGTTCAGCTTATTTCCTGTTACCAGTGTAGCATTAAAGCATGGTGGAATAAACAAGCTAGTTAGCCAACTAGCGGACAGCTGGCTAGTTAGCTGGCCAGCTTGCTAATACCGCCATGCTTTAATGCTACACTGGTTACAGGAAATGAGCCAATAAGCGGCTGGTAGCCAGCAGCAGCGCTGGGTGTTGTTGTCCCTCTTTCTTACTTATCATGGCTCCGGAGAACGACAAGCTAACTAGCTAACTAGCCAAGCATCCGTCTCCGGAGCTGCGACAACACTTTACGGGCCCCACTGACGTGTGTTGTCCCCACAACAACAAACACCATTTTTATTTAGTAGTCAAATGAACAGTTCAATGTCCATTCTGCTCCTATTCTATTTGCATGATGTAGGCACATATGTGCTTGAATGCCCACACACACACGCTTGCTCTGTGGGTCCCAGGGTTCAGTGTTGAGTCTCATATCTGTGGCCGTGGGGGTCGGAGACCGAAGCTCTGCGGTTATTCACACCAATAGATCTGCCTTTGTGAGCTGTTTCCTGAATAAATACTCTCGAGTGCGGAGTTTTCGTCATCCGGGGCCACGGCGGGTATTAAGCGGTATCCCCAGTGGGCCGGGTGGGGTTGAGGAGCCAGATCCCCCTGTAATTATCTCCTGGTCAGACCCGGGGCACACAGCAGTACAGCATGCTCATGGTCGTGTAAAAAGGAAGTGTAAATACACAGAGGAATATGCCACTGTTTTTCCTCTCCCTTGCCTCTTGATGCTGCCTGGCTGTCGGCTCCTTTCCCTCTCTTTTGTTTTCACTGCTTCCTTTTTCTCAGCCTCTCTTCCTCTCTGCATGTTAGTTTTCCTGGGAGGGAACGAGTGGAAGGCGGAGTTCAAGGGACTTCCCAGAGTTCACACTGAGCAGAGACCGAGACAAAACATGACATGACTGCGAGGAGTCTGCGGAAGGCAGAACGAAGCGGAATAACCTGCGCTAGTAAAAGTACCTGGAGGAGACCCAAGCTCCCCAACAGCCAATCACACAGCACGTCAGTCAAAACGGGGGCAACCCTCGTGAATAACTTTCCTCTTTGTCAACAATCTATAAATCTTAAAATCAATAGCTGCTGTAAATCTTAAATATGAAGAGGTCACGGTTATTCTTAGCTCAGAAAAGCATTTATTGGAGAGTGCTGACAGCTTCTGTCAGAAAGTCAGACACAGTGCTAAGTCAGACACAGTTCCTCCACCCAGCCTAGTGTCTGTCAGTGATGTTATACCAGAGAAGAAGAGAGTGTGCAGGAAATCGACCCCGAGGGGACACTGTATGTTCCACACTGTATCAGGCTGTGAGCGGATTATGTGGTGACGGATGACACTGTTAAAACTGCACACTCAGCTCCCTCTGTGGACGGAGGAAATGTTTTCTTTCTGGTCTTTTTCTCATCGTTGTGCCTTTCGTCTCTCTCTCTATTTTTCTCACAGAGACTTTTTCACCAGACATTTTTTTTGTATGTGAGAGAGAGAGAGAGAGAGAGAGAGAGAGAGAGAGAGAGAGAGAGAG